GGTTTATGGTTCTAAACCATGTAAAACATGCAGACGAACACATAACAGACTCTGTGCAGACAGGCCTGCAGCACAGCTGCTCCGACAGCTCAGCGGAGAACCTCTCTGACCTTCTGTACCATCTGACCCTCTGAACAATCTGACCCTCTGAATAATTCTGAATAATCTGACCTTTTGAACAATCTGACCAGCCGAACCATCTGACCCTCTGAACAATCTGACCCTCCAAACCACAATTCTGAACAAACTGAAATTCTAATTATTCCAGAATTCTGAACAGTGTGAACTAGTAACACGAACCTAACAAGAATTTCTGGTTCTAAAAAACTTGGTATCATCTAGTTTGAAGAACAAAATTTAGTTCCAGATTTTTCCAGCTCTTCCTTGTGAAAGTGCTCGGAATCTGTCGGATTGTGAGGGCGTCTCTTGTGTACAGCCCTCTTCAGGTCTACTCACAGGTTTCCGGTGGGATTCAGGGCGGGGCTCTGGCTGGGCCTTTCCAAAGCTTTGATCGTCTTCTGTCAAAGCCATTCTTTTGTTGATTTGGAGGTTTGCTCTGGGTCACTGTCCAGCTAAAGGTGAAGTTCTTCATCTTCAGCTTTTTAGCAGAGGCCTGAAGGTTTTCTGCCACAGTTGACTGATATTTGGAGCTGTTCATAATTCCCTCCACCTTGACTAAAGCCCCAGTTCCAGCTGCAGAAAAACAGCCCCGAGGCATAACGCAGCCTCCGCCATGCTTCACTGTGGTGTTCTTTTGGTGTTGGCTTTGTGCCAAACATACCTTTTGGAATTATAGCCAGGTTTTGGTAAGGCATAGCCGGGCTTGGATGTTTTTCTTTATTAGAAAAGGCTTCCGTCTTGCCACCCGACACCACAGCCCAGACTTCTGAAGAACACGGGAGATTGTCGTCACATGCACTACACAACCAGTACGCGCCACAAATTCCTGCAGCTCCTTTAATGTTGCTGTAGGCCTCTCTGCAGCCTCCTGGACCAGTTTTCTTCTTGTCTTTTCATCAATTTTTGAGGGATGTCCTGTTCTTGGTGATGTCACTGTTGTGCCAAATTTACTCTGCTTCTTTTTAAATACAACCACATCAGCAATTATAAGAGGTTGTTCACACTTATGCAACCACATTATTGTAGTTCTTTATTTTTATTTTTCCACCCTAAAAGATTTCAGTTTGTTTTTTAATTTGTACAGATTATGGGTCACATTGAAGGTGGAAATATATATATTATATATTTCCAACACTCAGCTACATACGCAGCAAATTATCTTTCTTTATGAAGAGCATTTTTTGTCTGAATAATGATTTGATAGTTTTCTAAACTCTTTATTTTGTGTTAAATGATTTTGGAAAGCTGGGAGTCTCCAGACGTTTGATGGACAGTGAATGTTC